TATTTATTGAATTTAATTTGCACACTCAAAGACATATTTCTCATATAATTGTCCTCTGATATTGACTTCTCTTTCAAATCTTTTTAACATGCATAACAGTAAGTGAAACTATATTTGAGGTAAGATCATGAGTAATAGAGATAATCTTCGTAATAATATTAAAAACTGAAAGAAAGTTTCTTATTTCAATCACAGAAAGTTAGTTTACAACCCTTTATAATTACTGTCTTTAATTGTATAGTGATGGAAAACTTTGTAATAAATAAATACAAACTCTAACAAATTAAAAGTTGAGTTCCACCTTGTAGAAACATCAATAAATAAAGATATTGTAATTAAAACTAATTATTTAATAATTCTACAAATTTATGCTTCATCGACTCTCTGATATGTTGAATGATTTCTCGAACATCTTTTAGCCAATTTTGGATCATCATATTGAGGATATGTGCGTAATATCTCACATAAAAAAAATATAAAAGTGCAACTTTTCCCGTGATTGAAAATTTATTTTTAATGAGCTAGCTGTCATATCATTCTTACTTGCGTTATCTAAAGCAATTGTAGAGACTTTATTGTGGAACTTTCACTCTAACAAATATTCATAAATAACATCATATATGTAAGTGTCAGTATATGAAGACTTTAATTCAATAAAATTGAAAATTACTTTCTTTACCTTTCATGTTTCATCGATATAAGTTGAATATATATCTGGACAGTTGAATATATATCATATGGTTTGATTAGAGATCAAATAATCAGCAGTTAGTAACATTATGAACATCTTTAAGGTGACATTATGTTTTTCATTCTCACACTCAAACTTTAATGCAATCATTTTTTATAGTATTCCTCGAAACACTCTCAAAATTAGGATAAAATATTTTTCAATAATATATTGAACGAAACATATTTAACTATTATGAATAGTTACTCATGTACAATTATCATTTTGGTAATTACCTCTTTTATGAGTTGTTGATCATAATTTTTAGAATCATAGAATATAAGAAACTCTGAGTCTGTATCAACTTCAAAGGGCAAAAAGTTCAACCTCTTATCTTTTATCTGATAAGTCAATAGTTGAACTCTTTTTATCTTGTCACATTTCTTAGCATGTTTGAGATGTTGTGAAATTGTCTGTTTTTGGTTTGTAGATTTTTTCCTCACAAAAATGCATTGGACAAAAAAAAACTTTGACATAGTTGACCTTTTTCTACTTTTTTTAGCTTGTATGTCAATACTGGTACTTCCAACAACCACTTCAACATATTGAGAAATAATATGAGAACTATCATTTTTATTGTATGATAACTGATAATTTTTCACTAGCTGATGCAGATTGAGATTGTTTAAATATTGATATTGCAAATAATTAAACATAAAAACATAATATAACATGATGTATCATTTATTTATGTGTCTAAAATTCTTATTTGAACACATAAACTTATGTAATGTCAAGTTTATATATAGCTAAATATACAATAAAAATATCTTCACATTATTGAAGAGAATTAAAAAAAAATAATAAAAATGTCTACTATGATAAAACATCTCAATAAGACAAATTTACCGACATGATAATATCTATATTTGCATATATTAATATGATTCATGTATTTTGTATGCCTCCTAAGTCTAAAATAGGTCAAAGAAGAAAATCTTCATGACATAAACACTGATGGTTTGCATATAAAAGTGAACATGTCTGGGCCGAGCTGAATACTACAATATCACCCAAACTAAAATTTTAATAAGTGTATAATTGAACCAAGCATCTCCATGAAACAAATCCACCACCATCAAAAGTGAATCGATCCAACTTTTGAGCATAAATGATCCAGACTAGTACTTGAAGCATAACCAAAAACTGTGATACACAACTTCACTGTCATAAACGGTCTTAAACCAAACTAAAGCATCTTATGCTCACTTATATGAAAAATTGAAAATGAAGCAGCAAACTAAATAACCAAATTAAAACAAATATTTAGAAAATATAATATCACTATGATAAACCCAAATAGTAGGACTTCATGTCGTTGGTATACCGAAGTATCAAACCCTAACCAAAGAATAAACAAATCATGCTCGTATCCTAGCCCCAAATGGGGGTAATATCTTCTTAGATAATAAAGACGAGGGACAAGAAAGAAGCTGGTAAGGGAATTGTCACAATAATAATTAAATGAGAGGAGAGATTCAGACTTCTGAGTAAAAAAACCTCACAGAGGTAAGCCATCACTCACAAGTAACAAACGAGAGAGAATGAGAGAGGAATATCCTTTACCGACAAAAGAGGCGAAGGAAATTTTATAATTCGAACAATAACGAGCTGAACACAGGTCTGTTTTTGTTCAACTCGCTTATAAACCGAGCTCAATAAACTTGTTCGTGTTTGGCTTATTTGCTTATTGAACGAATCGAACACGAGCTTTTTAGCGAGCCAAACACTAGTTGTTTGCGAACGACGAGCTTTTTTGACATACCTAGTGCTAATTAAACAACTAGAACTTCCACAATGACTTGTTTCAAGTGTCTGTGGAAGGTTTATGCCATCAAAATATAGCCTTGGATTAATTTCTTGATAATTTATTGAGCGAGGTGGTGAGCTAAGTATGTAATTAATGATGAGCCTTTGATATATGATGATGATCGTGTTTTCAATGATAGTCCCACAATTTTTTATTTTGAGATGCATTTTCACATTCCCAACCATTCCTGAGGATTTGAAATGCATTCTTATCTTCCTAATTTAAGAAATTTAGAATGATAAGAGGTGCAAATTAGCATCGCTAGTGTGGGTTTCTTGAAATGTTGATTTGATAATGTAGTCGTATCTTATTCCTTTCCATGTGGCTTGGTTGGCGATCCTCTCCTTTGTTGTCATATTCACCGAAAGTCGCCTCTGGCTTTATGAAATGAATCTGATTCATTATGGACTACAAAGAACTTATGCTTTTTAAGTTCAAAGGGTACTTTATTTACTTATATTTTATTAAGATTATGTAGTCTATGTAAAAAATACACAAGAAAATATTTGATATATGTACAACTTTTGTCCAAAGCCTTAATGTTAGACTGCAACTTTTCATTCAACTATTTGTGATTTCACTAAACAATCTAGAGTTTTGGCCCAAGCTTCTACCATAACTCATTACATTTTAATGATTACTATTTGTGGTTGAAAGGCCTTTCGAAGTATCATCAATGAGTTCCTCATTTTTTTCTTGTTGGTTAAACATGAGATTTCTCCTTTGGTTTCTGAAAATTATATATATTTGTGTTGTGGCCCTGGTAGAATTTCAAGTATCACACCATTGATTTTATACTATGTTCACCACTACCAAAATTTTCACACTATAGGATGAATTTATCATTGCTTGTTGAGCCCAAACATAAGGTTGATGGGACAACATAGAAATGGTTATGCAAAAAAGTCAACCCTTTTGTTGTCCTTCCATTATTGATGCTAAATAAAGATTGTTCTTGTATGGTGACTGTTAATAGTGATGCAATACATAAAATCAATCTAATGGACAAATTTTTTATGCATAGACTGATGACATGCTTGACATAATATCTGAGTCATTGTACTCTTCAAAACTTACTTTATGTAGTTTATGCTTATATATTTGGATTTATTATGGGGAAGAATGAGGATTGACATTTAAGGCGTCTGATAAGTTATATGAATGTTCTATAGTACCTTTTTTATTGTCTAATATGCATGTTGCTTTTATAAATTGATAAATAAGTGTTTTATTCATTCATTGGTAAGTTTTTGGTTGTGTTCTTTGATATCATCCTAATTTACATCTCAAAGTACCATCTAAATTAAGGGATGACAAGTTGCATGTTAATCTTAAAATGTGCACTTATTATTTTTTTGTTAAAGGCAATATTTTTTTTGGAGTATTTTTCATCTTGTCAAATTCCTCGCCATTCTTATAAATCCCTTAAAATCAAAGCCTCGCTTCTATTTTTAATGCTAGAGGCTTCCATGGGCTAGCTATATTTTTTAAGTGGTTTGTTATGAATATTATTATCTTCATCACCATTTCGATAGATTTTTAAAAAAATTAAGTTTAGGTGGTTATCACTTGTTGTTAAAGCCTTTGAACAAATAATGGTATGAATGACTACATTACAAAATTTTAGATTCTCTTATTTTATGGTTGTTTTTGAGGTATTTTATAATGCCTTTTGTTTGGCATACATGGTGTTCTTAATCAAGATGATTACATTAAGGCTAAACAAAGGTGATTAATTTATGATAGAGAATTTATGCTTTCATTGAAGCTTTAATGTGTTGATGACAGCCATATTGTTGCTTACTTTAGTGCGTGATTGAATGGAGCTAAACAAATGCATTCTACTTATCATAAGAAATTTATGCTTTAATTAAGACTTTAAGATATTGGCAATATTATTTTCTACCAAATAAATTCATTTGCATTTTTTATTACCTGGCTTTCAAATATATAAATACCAAAAAAATTATGTGTGTGTGTGTTTATATATTAAGTTGATTGAATACCTTTAGGATTACAACTTTATTCTGATGCATACACCTTTCATTAAAAATAAACCCATCGTTGCGCTATCCTTGGTTTTCTTAGCCTCTATACCCATTAATGTGCCTAGTTTTGAAAGAATTCGAGACTAGCCTATGTCATGGCCTTCCTTACTCTCGATTTATCACAATTACAAATATGTCATATTTCTCTTCTGCGACTTTTATGGTTTCAGATAGATATCTATATAAAGCTGGGGTAGGTTTTGCGTTAGGGTCAATATTTGTGATTATATTGTTTGGGAAATGCATGCCAGTGGCTTTACTAGCTCTAAATTTATTCTCTTGAATAAATTTGTAGGCTTTTCATGTACTCATTTCTGCGATTTTTCTGAGTGTTTTGTGGTTTATTTTTTTGTGATATCACATTTTGTTCTTATAATTGGAAAGCGCTTGTTTGTTTCTTTTTGTACTGAAGGTACACTGAGGATATGGAGCTTGATGATGCTGTTCATACTGCTATTTTGACCTTGAAAGAAGGGTATGTTATTTCTTGTAATCCGTGATATTAACAAGAACTTGCTTCTCCCTTGGCAATAATGTGATGGTTTCTGTTGCCATTTTGTAGTTTTGAAGGCCAAATTTCAGGCAAAAATATTGAAATTGGGTTAATTGGCACTGACCGGAAGTTCAGGTATGCTCTCTTGCTCTTGCAATTATGCATAATTTTAGGAGCATTTACATACATGCTACTCAATTCCTAAGTATTTACATGTCTAACACGTAAACTTTGAACTTTACATTTATACCACCTTAAGTCTTTCATCTCATATAAAAAAGTGAAATACACCTTCTCATGCATAGGTAAGGTGGTATATGTAAAAATTGACGTATATGTAAAAATTGACGTAAAAATTGACGTTCAAGTGTTAGATATGTAAATACATGGGAATTGAGTGGTGTTTATGGTAAATCTTCAATAATTTTATTGTTGAGTTGATTATAAATTGTTTGAATGGGCTAGCAATGGTGATGCTAAGCCAACAAAGGTTATCTTATAGTAAGCAGGTTGCAAATTTGAACTTAGATGTTAGGATTCCTGGAAAATAGTGCCGATTACTACACCTTGGAGGGCACAAATACAATTTTATTGAAGATCAAAGAATCCTTGGTGTGGTTGTTCCTTGGTTTAGATGGTCTTATTATGATGTAAAGATTCTTGATTTGATTCACAGAAAATCTCTCTAAGAAATTCATGTGAATTCTTTTGTCCATTCTTCATGATGTGGACCTCTTGCGTTTGTTATATCCCCCCAAGGAATTATTGCCTTAGGAATTTCTATATAATTAAATAAAGAATAATACTAATAATAAATAATTAATAAAAACAGTTTTTGACTACCTAGAATTGAGGTCTATATCGCCTTCAATTTAGGCTTTGATCTCGGTTTGGTTTGTCAACTTGCCTCTAAAAGGCAGGGCAAATATCTAATTTTGGTCTCCTATTGTTCATCCATTTGGTTTGTCAAGCTCAAAACCAAGCCATAGAATGAAATTTTGTTAATTTTAGAGGACCGTTTCTGTTGTAGTTCGTAATTAATGGTGGGAACGTGAAGGTAAATTACTTTTCTTCCCTTCATAAGCTACAAGTTATATGAAAGTGGATTTGCTGAACTGCTCGCTAAAAATCTAATGTTAAAAAACTTGACTTGTTAAAATTTTCTGAGCTGATTTCGGAATCACATCAGAATCAGCAAAGCTTATGCAATTTTCAGATTTTATTTGGGATTTATTTAGCTAAAAAATTTGTCATATTTTACTTCAGAATTTCATTTTGGGATGTTTGATTCCAATATAATTGGCGTGGGATTGCATTTTTTCTATGAAAGGTGAACAAATACGTTTTTCCTTCAATAAAGTTCCTTTCATTCAAGAAATAAAAACACAATCCAAACAAGAAATTAAAAAAATATATATATTATTCACTCAATTTCTCATCATCAACCAAACAAACGTATGGAAATTTAATTTTGTTCAAATCTCTTCTATTTTTTATGTTCATTTCTTCTCCTTCAATTCCTTCAAACTAACTATAGTTTTTATGTTCTCAGAACTTGTATTCGTTGTTTCTGTTAATGGATCCATTGTTTGTTTGATGAAAACCATCCGAGCCAAAACACTAATCTCGTTATAACATTCTGTAATTTAAAAATGGTAATATTATATGAAGACAAATATGAACAGAAGATAGCTATCATATTAGCAAAATTACACTATTAATCTATAGTTATAAAAAAAAAAATTCTTAGATTATTTCTGAGGAAAAGCTGTATCCGGAAAGCTGCTTCATGTTTTCACATATTTGCTTTTTGTAAAATTTGATGCTTAAATTTAAAAATTGCACTGTGAGTCTTCATATATTGCTTTTGAACATATTTGTCATATTTTTTATAAGAAACCATTTTTTGCAGGGTGGTTTTTTTAATTTTTCCTTTCTATCATTATTTTTTTGTTGCAGGGTGTTGAGCGCAGCTGAAATTGATGATTACTTGGCTGAAGTGGAGTAAATCTCTTCTCTTTTTGGTGAAGATCTGATCTAATAACCAAGAAGAAAAAATGCATTGAATTTTTCTCTGTTAACTGACATTGATCTTCCGATGTATTGTGTAACCTAAGCCTATCTATTTCAATTAAACCTTTTCTATTCCACATTTTATTCGATTAGAGGAACTTGCATAGTTGCATTGTTTTGACACCCTTTTTTTTGGAATTTCCTTGGATTTGGTAAAAAATGCCCATTTTATTTTGAATATCTCTCATTTTCCATGCCTTATGCTAATCTTCTATTACTATTTTGAGTATCTTTTTTGGTATTTACATAGATACCATCCAATTCTTATATATTTACATATCCAACACCCCAACTTTGCTTTTTTTACATTTTTACCACCCAAATGCATAAATGAAAAAAAAAAAGTTTAGGTGTTTGTTATGTAATACATAAGAATTTAGTGGTATGCATGTAAATTTTCTGTTATAACATGATATTAAAGATAAGTGTTATGTATGTAAATATGAAACTTTAGTTGTTAGATATGTAAATATGTAATGAATGCTCCATTATTTTAATAAGTGATATTTAAAAATAAATTCATTATTAATTTAATAGTTTTAAATTTTAAATATAGCATTATTTTAATGAGTTATATTGAAATTTTAAGTAATGGTAATATATTGGGAAAAAATAAATAAACTTTAGGTGTTTGATATGTGAATACATAGGAATGTGATGGTATAATCAAATTACTATGTTAGTGGTTATTTATGGAATACTTGTTTATTAATTTTTGCATTTTTTTTCTATGACTGCTGTATATAATAATTATACTTTATCCTTAAAGATAAATAAATTACATATGTTAATATTTGATTAAATTATAATTTATAGATTTGACGTCATTTAATCATATTATTATCAAAATTTTAAGAATGTTTGAGCCAAATCTGACATGCAACAATAATTCAACCTACTTGGCTCACTTAAATATATATATATATATTAAAAATACATCACATTTGTCAAAATAACGTGTTATTAATCAGAGCGGGGAAATTTGGATAAATGTTCGACTTGTTAACAAATATAGTTTTTCTTGTTTAGTTTATTTGTACATTTAACTCAAAAAAATTATTCTTTTGCTTAACGAGTTCGATACGAGTTATTCGCGAACAATGATCGGTTTTGATAGCTCTAGTGATGCAACTATTGAATTTTAAGAGTAGGGACGAGATTTAAATCTTATAATTTATATTAAAGTAAAAAGAATTTAATATATTTTTTATTATATTTTTTTAATTAATAGTTTTTAATTCATCAGCCGATATTTCTGGTTCAGAGTCCATAAGTGTCGAGAGGTCGCAGACCAAAGCACGAGAAACCTTCCGACGGAGATTGAGGACAGCAAGCATCTTCACCAAAATCGGCCTCACATGCCGGAAGGGGAGGTGACGGAGCGGAGAATGGAAAACGGAAAGAGAAAAAGGGAGAGGAATACGGCGGCGGCGGTCTCTGCTGCTGGAATTGAACGAATTAGGGCTTCGCACATACTGCTGAAGCACGAGGAATCGCGGAGGAAGAGCTCATGGAAGGATCCTGAGGGACGACTTATCAGCATCACTACCAAGGCGAAGGCGGCTGAGCAGCTCAGGGAGTTGAGGGAGGAGGTCGCTGCCGGCAGGTCTCTGTTTGAGGATGTCGCCGCTCCG